TTTTTTTTAAGAATGACTATTTCCGATTCCAATGATGATCACCTCTCTCTTGGTAGTAATATTACCGGCTATTATGTTACTTATACCAAGTCAGAACAAAATGAAAAGCAAATAATAAACTGATTTAGTTTAGCTCATAAATAAGGAAAAAAGGAAGAGATCTGTAAATACAATTTATATTTAAGCTACATGAAGGCAGGGACCAAATCTATGTTGGATCCGAGGCGGCCACAGACCCAGAATCTAAATTGAATCTTAGGTCATTCCTAATTTCAAACAAAACAGAGTAATCCTCCTTTCACCACATCACTCCCCTGGCCCCCAAATTAAATTATACTTCAGAGCACGTGCAGTGTCGCAGAAGGAATTCCCCATCCCCTACCTATCTGGGATTCCTGGACAGGACAGGCTCGGGGCACAAGAGACAGGCAGGGTGATTTCACCTAACAAGCTCGATAAGAAGAGGTCCAGAGTTAGGAGGGCTGGAAAAGGTATAAACTAGCGCGATTCCTCCAAAAACCGTCTTCAGAAAGTTTCAGACATAAGAGTCTGGACCGTCCAGGCCCGCGTCGGCAGGTTGCCCGGCAACAGGCGCTGCTGAGCAGGGCTTCTGATTACACTCTCTCGCCTCCAGGGACCAAAAGGTCGTCGGCCCGAGTCCCAGTGTTCGTTCTACGCCACCTCCCACCCCCTCAATCTGCCTCCTCAGTTCCGCCGCCTGGCTGACCTGAACTGAGCATGTCGCGGGAGACTCCGCCACGCTCTGAGAAGTACTTGCTGGAAAATCCAAAGGGGCGAAACCTCGGCTCCCGCCACCGGAGCCTCCTAGGGAACCGGCTCCGCAGCTCCGCGGCGCCCCCAAACCCCGGCGAGGAGCTGGAGTGGACTCACTCACCTGCCTTTCTCCTGAACAGGGAAAGGGCCAAAGCCCGGCCCGGATTCACGGCGGTTGTTGTGTAATAATTTGTCTAATTGAATTCTGTTTAACATATTTCATAAGGCACCTATCTGCGCGCAGCGCCCATAATAATGTTTTGAGGGGAAGAAATTTACGCATATGCTGTAATATCTGCTCTCAAGGAGCTTACGCTTTTTTTAAAAAAAGATTGCAATATATTATATAGAGATACATCGGGATATTAGACGTGGATATTACTTCAAATTTGTGTGAACCTGTATACCTATAGATGATTACATGAATAATTGCATATGTATGTATGTGTATTTGCGAGTGTGTGTATACTTACAATTTAAAATGATGTATGGAAAGGGCAAAGTCTTAGAAATCAAGAAACCTGCATTTTATTTTTTGCCAATATTTTTTTTAAATCCAGTTTTGCTCTTGTTGTCCAGGCTGGAGTGCAATGGCGTGATCTCGGCTCACTGCCACCTCCACCTCCCGGGGTCAAGCGATTCTCCTACCTCAGTCTCCCGAGTAGTTGGGATTACAGGTGCCCACCACCATGCCCAGCTAATTTTTTGTATTTTTAATACAGACGGGGTTTCATCATTTTGGCCAGGCTGGTCTCAAACTCCTGACCTCAGGTGATCCCTCCACCTCTGTCTCCCAAAGTGTTGTAATTACAGTCGTGAGCCACCATGCCTGGCCTAGATTTTTTTTTCATGTATGCTCTGTACACAACGTCTTTTGGCATCATTCCTCACCTATAAAGGAGAAAAGCTGGTTTAAATAATTGCAAGGTTCCACCCTACTCTAATATGCACTAACTTTCCTAAATTACACAGCCAAGAGTCAGATATTCAAATTACAAGTAAGAGTTTATTAAGGTTAATCCAGTACTTCTCCGACATAATCATGTTTTTCTAATCTGCAGTAACCTCAAAATTAGTTCCCCTCTAAATGTATGTATCAAAACGTGAATATTTCCAGTATTTCCTGGAGCCAGCGTGGTAGTAAAAATACAAATAAATTTTTATACAAATAAAGTATAAAAATAGCAAAGTAAGTAAAGGAAGTATAATGTAATTACTGTATTTTTCTGTACACTGTACTTCATAAAATTCATCCACCAATTACCCCCACATAGAGAGAAAAGCAAAAATAACAGAAAACATACCATAAAAACAAAACAGAAAATTAAAGTTTTAAAAAGTTACAAAACACCTTAAAAATTCTGGTTCCCCAACTAACCTTGGCCATTCCACAAATAGATGTTCAAGAAAATAACATTAGGATATGTACTTGTCGATTCCTGGCAATTAGACTTTTCACACATAAAGTTTTTTAGTGTTTCTGAATATAGCTGTCTAAGCCATTGGGAGCATGGTCTAAAAAACATAATGTATACAATTTAGACATTTTGCTAAAACATCTATTAGAAGAGTAATAATCTTGGATTATGTTTTGACTATATATGCTCTACTTTTACCAATCTTTAAATCCATTACTCTATGAAATTTCTGTTGTTGTTAAAGGCAGTTAATTTCTCTATAAATAAAACTAAATTAACTATCTGTTCACCTTTATCCCTATTAACCTTATCCCTATTAGCCTTTACTATTTTGCAGATCCAAAATAGTTTGCATTTGAAGCTCAACTTAAAATTTTCGTTTACTTGATATTCATTAATGCATTCAACATTCACTGAGTACCTACTATTTGAAAATATGTGTCTTTATGCATTCATTTGGCCACCTATGTATTTGACAAACATCCACTGAAGACCTTCTATCCTCAAATATGCCCAATATTAGAAAAAGTGAAATATATAAGCCTACCCAGTATTTCCTTTTATATGATTACATCGAGTCAATTAAATCTCTTTCCTTTATAAATAAAAAATATATATTTTTGAGCCCCATATATATATATATATAAAACAATTAAAATATTTTTTCTCTCAAGAAGCTTACAATTGTATACAACATTATTAGAAAGTTAAAAGAACTCATTTATTTATTCAACCAATTTTTATTGAGGGCCTAAAAGTTCAGCTCCTGTTCAGAATGCTAGAGATACAACAATGAAGAAAACAAAGCCACTGTTGTGATGAAGGTTACAACCTAATAGAGAAGGCAGATGTTAAAAAAATAAATAACATAAATTCAGGAAGTAATTAATGCAATGAAGAAAAATATAACAGGTTAAGTGGATAGGCACTGACAGATAGGGGATGTAGAATGATCAGGGAAGACTTCACTAAAGGGAACTCTACAAAGAGCATTGCAGGCAAAAGTAACAGCAAGTGCAAAGGAGCTGAGAAGAGGTCATCTTTAACAAGTTGATGGATGTGGTTGATGCAGAATAAGCCAGGAGAGAATTCAGGAAAGAGGCCAGAGAATTACCCATGGTCAGGTTATGTAGTGTCTTTTGGGCCATACCTAGGACTTCAGATTTTTTATTGTGGCCCCCCACAGTAATGTGAGCCAATTCCTTAAAAGTCTCCCTCTCTCTCTCTCTCTCTCTCTCTCTCTCTCTGTGTGTGTGTGTGTGTGTGTGTGTATACACACATATGTATATGCCTATAGACATCTGTATCTCTCTGTGTGTAAATATATATATGATTATAGGCATACATACATATATATATGTGTGTAAACACATAGATTTATAGAGAGATAGCTTTATATATAAATGTATATACACATATGTATATATGCATATGTATATGCCTATAGACATCTGTATATCCAGGAAGAGACATATATGTATAGATACATGTAGCTATACATACCTGTATCTAGTTCTCTATCTGTATACCTACACACACATATATATGTTCATGTCTAAATCTATGTGTATTTGGGTGTGGGATACCAGAAGCTCAGTTTGGACTATGTATGTGACACAAAATTAGCATATACAACAATTTCCATTAGCTGGTAGTAGACTAGAAACATATTCTCTATTGCCCAGTAGAATTTCCATTAGGATCTTTGCATTTCTTCCTTTTTTATAACCCAATTTTCTGCTTTTTATTTAAAAAAAAATGATAGCAGCTGCATCAAAGTAGTTTGTTTTGCTTTTTTGTGTATGTGTCAAGGTTGGCTATGGCAGAACATTTCAGTAGATGTAAATATGTGTTCACTTGAATTTAATGGCATTGTAAACAACTTCAGATCACTAAGTAAAGATGTTTATTTGAAACATAGAAATACTAAAAAAAATTTATGTCATGAGGGATAATGCTGGTTTAGTACTGAATATCAATATAACTGATGTAATAAATTTAAAACATTAAGCCAAATGAAATTGACTTATATTGCGATGTAGGTAAAATAGACAATCAAATGGACTCTGTCCATCCCAGTCTCAGCATATCAATTAAACTCTTGGAGTCTACTAGTCACCAAACAGTGGCTCTGTTCCAAACTATCAAAAAGGGAAGATTTTGCCAAGAGGAACTACTTGGCTACATCTTCCAGGTGTCTATTTTCATCTTTCTAAGCAGTCAGTCTCTTCAGATGAAAAAACAGAAGCAAATTATTAAATGTTTGACAAGTTGATAATTTCGTATCACAGTATGTCACTGTGTAGGAATTGCCTATTGTTACTCTGTTTGCAAGGTCTGAGGGAAGTGGCAATATGATTCTAGTTTATTTAGAACAATAAAAATCTATGCGCGGAAGCTGTGTGTGTGCTTTGCACTCACCTGGCCCACTGTCAGCATCCCGCACTTGTTCTTTACCTAACACCGTGTGGCTTGCATATTGCAATCTGTATTATAATACGGGCGCGCTCTGCAGATTACAGACTGGATACACAGAAAGCAGTTTGGAGTTTGGATGGTTGAAACTCCCAGCACCAGAGGGCGACTCAGAGCTTTCCCCTGTAGCCCAGGGCTCTGTAGAAGGCGAACCCTGCTGCCCGTTCCTCCCCACAGCGACACTGACGAGGGGATCCAGCCTGCTGGGCATCCCCGCCCTGGACTGGAGCCTGTGCAGGAGGATGGAACCAAGGGAGAGTGTGGTGTCGGGGGAGGGGAAATGCGGTTGCCCCAGCCGTTACTGGTCAGTCAGGGCATCCTCCACATCCTTCCATGGCTCTAAAGAAGTTCAGTCGTTTATGGACCTTGTGTCTGTGTTTGGTGGCCACTGGATCTTCCAAAATCCCATCTATCACTGACCCACACTTTATAAACGACTGTGTCGAAGCCCACAACGAATGGCGGGGCAAAGTCAACCCTCCGGCGGCCGACATGAAATACATGGTGAGAAAGAACCGAGGCTGGGCTCTTAAATCTCTGGTATTTAAGAGATTTAAATTTACCTCATCCTAAGGTATCTGGGTGGTAAATTTCACGGACTTACTTGTACTAATTCAGTCCGGACTTCGAATATATGCAGTTAAAAAAAAAAAATCATACCTTGTCTGGGCTGTCTTCTCCAGAGTCATGATAGTGAACAGGAAAGGTAGATTCCTTGAAGCTGTTCCTTGTCTCTTGCCGGGAAGGCGCGGTTGCTGGGGCAGTGTTTGGAGTTGCTTTGTTGCACCACTAAGGTTATAAATACTTCACACAGGATTATTTTGTTTCCTTTTCTCCATTTTTTGGCTAGCATTTTTCATCCCGCACAACCAAGATACACGATATCGAAGAAATATCCCAGGAATGGAGATTGTCTTCTCTTACTTATTTTTATATCATGTGAATCCAAGATCAAAACAACACTTCATGTGTAGTATTCATCTGAAAAGAAAAATTACAAGGATAAGAATATTGAAATCAGGAGTTGAGCTACATCAGATAGTCACTTTCATGAAAAATAATAAATATATAAAATTTAATTCCAAAAACATTGAATTAATTGTGTACTTTGCAGACCTCCATCATATAGACAATAAGGCAAAAGACTGTACTCTAATGAAAAATAAGCATAAAAACCATTGGAGTATTCAAATTCAAATTCAAAGAATTTACAAAATGTTAAATACTTGACAATGAATTGTATGACTGGAAATTATCCTTACATTTTAACTTTTTCTTGTTTATAAATATGATATTATTAGCAACGTTGATAGTATTAGTCTATTTTATGTACTGTGCAGATGTAGATAAAGTATAACTCCTATCTATTCCACCTTTTCTCTTTTCTATCCAATGCAAAACAAAATGGTAGTCATTATAAAATCATAACTCAGGCACTAAAATAAATTCAAAACTGTACTATCCTACTGTGTAAGAAAATTATATTTTGTTGGAGGAGAAAGATTCAAATAGATATCGGAAATGAAACAAGAATAAATTCATCTTTTTAATGCAGAATTGTTAAGGCATTTTAATACATAATGCTTACTAGCTTGGGGTTGTCCAAGACACAAACGACCTAAATAAATCTTCAACTCAATTCAGAAATGCTGATATTAGTAGCAATATGGGTGATGTCTTTAGAGTTTTATTGTATATTGTATGATTTTAAAAAAGAGTAAATATGGGGGTTAAATATAATAAATAGTCTTTATATTTCTTTTGTACTCATTGACTATTTAAAGCAAATGTGATAACAATGAATTGTGGGGTTTATAATAATGTAGAAACAAAACACATTATAATCAATGCAAAAAAAATGAAGAACGGCATCAATAGAATTATTCTGCTGAAAGTTCCTTATATCGTTAAGAATTACAATAATATTTCCAGATGGACCGTGAGATGTTAAGAATGCATATTTTAATATCTAGAATAACCACTAAAAATACAAAGAAGTTAAGCTAAAAAATCCAGTAAATAGAATAGTAAAAGTACTTTATTAATTTTTGGAAAACAGGAACAAGGAACAAAAGAACAAAGAGGGAATCAATTAAAAATAGCAAATGGTAGACTAAAACTTAACCATGTTAAAATTATATTAAATGCAAATGACTACTACATACTTTAATTAAAAATAAAGATTCTCAGATGATTCATGCTTTTGTAACAGAAACATATCACAAATAGGATTAAAGTAAAAAGATGGAAAAATACTTTATGCAAACTCTAAGATTGAGTCACTACATTTATAGCTACCAAAGTAGGTTTTAAGAAAGGGAGAACTCCTAGAAATAAAAGGAGATATTTAGGAATAATAAAAGGGCCAATTAAACAAAAGACACAACAATCTTTAATGCAAATAAATGTAATAATGTAGCTTACTATACAAAAATTGGCAAAAGTAAAGGGGAGAAAGAGACAAAACAGTCATAGAGATTTTAACCTTAGTGAATAAGAGAACAAGTAAGTAAAAATCAGTAAAAATAAAAAAAGGATTAAATGAATATTTTAGGAAAGAAAAACAGTTAAAAATCAAGACCTATTCTTTCAACTCAAGAATGTAGGAAACGAGTGTAAATTAAGCACAAGAAAAATAAAACTAAAGATGAGCATAATTTGATGAAATTGAAAGCAAAAGTACGATGGACAAAAATCAATAATATCAAAAGTTGGTTTTAAAACTATATATGAATAAAATTTCTAATCTACTAGCAAAAAAGAAAGGATTAATGAAGAAAGACATAACTCAAAAATTAATTTTAGAAATGGAAAATCACTTTTAAAAAACTCCAAACATCAAATGGATAGAGAATATTTTGAAGAACTTTATGCCAATAAATTTGATAACACAAAGAAAATAAATGGACAAATGTATTGAAAATCAAAATTTTATAAAATTGACACAATATTTTTATATGTTGTTTATTGAAGGATTACTAGTGAAGAAGTTCATAAAATGCACTAGTTTTAATGTACAATAATTTTTTACATATGTACATGTCAGTGTACTACTTACATCAAAATTGGAATTTTTGTTTCACATATGGTTGCCATGTTTTTCATCACATAAAGTCTCATAAATACTGCATTCTGTACTATATGTTTTACAAAGTAACAAATTAAATGCTTGAACTTTGCCTAATAAAAGTATTGCTCATTATTTTTATTTCTTTGATTTATATTGTTATTTTTCGATATTATATTCTTTGTCCTGTACAAATGAAAGAATCCTGGGTTAGAGATTGATTTTGAACCCAATATAAATCTTTTAACAGAGATATTTAACCAATTTATGAATGAGATCATTCATTTGCATCTTCTTCAATTTAAATAGTCTTATGCCATTACCTAAATTAGGTAATTTTAAATATTTTTAACAGAAAATTCAGGTGAATTCTAAGAAAGCAACACCAATTTCATGCAAATCTCTTTGCGAAACTGAAAAAGAAAGTCTTTCGGAACTTTTTTTCTTTTTTTTTTTTTTTTGAGACGGAGTTTCGCTCTTGTTACCCAGGCTGGAGTGCAATGGCGCGATCTCGGCTCACTGCAACCTCTGCCTCCTGGGCTTTTGGAACATTTTTAAGTCAAGTTTTACCCTGACCAGACATAACATTACAGGTTAGAAAGTTATAGCTCAATGTAGACGCACAAAATCTTCAATGAAATTATAGTCAATTTAATCTAGCAACATATATAAAGAATATTGTATCATAAGATTTACCTCAAGAATAAAATGTTAGATTAGGAATTGAAAATTAATCAACATAATCAGTACCCAAACTGGAAACAACATTAAGAGAAAAATCCTCAGAAAATGAAGAAACTGAGAAATCTGACTTCGATTGGGGCAATTTAATCGCTGTTTACAATTTGTCACTCTTAATAGATTAAATGAGAATTATATGATCATCTCAACAGAGTCAGGAAAACCATTTGGTAAAACTCTATATCAATTCATTTTATTTCATTTATTTTTTTCAATTTTTTCCTGTAGGGTTTTTTTTTTTAAATAATGTTGGGGAAACAGGTGGTGTTTGGTTGAAATGGAAAATTTTTTGTTTTGTTTTTTTCAGCTTTTAAGTTCTGGGGTACACGTGCAGGATGTGCAGGTTTGTTACACAGTTAAACATGTGCCATGGTGGTCTGCTGCACAGATCAACCAATCACCCATGTATTAAGGCCAGCATCTATTAGCTATTTTTCCTGATGCTCTCTCTCCTTCCAACCCCACCTGTCTACAGGCCCCAGTGTGTGTTGATCTCCCCATGTGTCCATGTGTTCTCATCGTTCAGCTCCCTTACAAGTGAGAAGATGGGGTGTGTGGTTTTTGGTTCCTGCATTAGTTTGCTGAGGGCAACACCTTCCAGCTCTATTCATGTCCCTGCAAAGGACATGATCTCATTCCTTCTTATGGTTGTGTAGTATTCCATGGCATATATGTAGCATTATTTTGTTTATCCAGTCTATCATTGATGGGCATTTGGTTTGATTCCATGTCTTTGCTATTGTGAATAGTGCTGCAGTGAATATACATGTGCATGTATGTTTATAATAGAATGATTTATATTCCTTTGGGTACATACCCAGTAATGGGATTGCTGTGTCAAATGGTATTTCTGACTATAGATCTTTGAGAAATTGCCATACTGTCCTCCACAGTGGGTAAAGTCATTTACACTTCCACCAACAATGTAAAAGTGTTCCTTTTTTAACACAACCATGCCAGCAGGTGTTGTTTCTAGACTTTTTAATCATCGCCATTCTGACTGGCATGAAATGGTATCTCATTGTGGTTTTGACCTGCATTTTTCTAATGATTAGTGAAGTTCAGCTTTTTTCATTTGTTTGTTGGCCACATGTAGGCCTTCTTTTGAGAAGTGTCTGTTCATGTCCTTTGCCCACTTTTTAATGGTTTTTTTTTTCTTGTAAATTTATTTTATCTCCTTATAGACTCTGGATATTAGACTTTGGTAGGATGGCTAGATTGCAAAAATTTTCTACCATTCTGCAGGTTGTCTGTTCACTCTGATGATAGTTCCCTTTGCTGTACAGAAGCTCTTTAGTTTAATTAGATCCCATTTGTCCAGTTTTGTTTTTGTTGTAATTGCTTTTGATGCTTTTATCACGAAATATTTGCCCATGCCTGTGTCCTGAATGGTATTGCCTAGATTTTCTTCTAGGGTTTTTATAGTTTTAGGTTTCACATTTAATTCTTTAATCCAACTTGAGCTAATTTTTGAATAAGGTGTAAGGAAGGGGTCCAGTTTCAGTTTTCTGCATATGGCTAGCCAGTTCTCCCAGCGGAAATATTATTTATGGATAATTTCTAAGATTTTGGTGCACCCATCACCTGAGTAGTGTACACTGTATACCATGTGTAGACTTTTATCCTTCCCGTCGCTCCCACCCTCCCCATTGAATCCCCAAAGTCCATAATTCTTATGCCTTTGGGTCCTCATAGCTTAGTTCCCGCTTATAGGTGAGAGAATACAATGTTTCATTTTTCATTCCTGAGTAATTTCAATTAGAATAATGTCTCCAACTCTATCCAGGTTGCTGCAAATGCCATTATTTTCTTCCTTTTTATGGTTGAGTAGTATTTCTTTATATAATATATGTATATGTTTTATACATACATATATATAAAATATATAGGCATATATTTTATACACATATAAATATATTTGTATATATTTATATTTTATATATGTATGTAAAATATAAATATATTTTTATATTTATAAATATAAAATATATAAATATAAAAGTTATATATTTATATTTTACATACATATATAAAATATAAATATATACAAA